GGGGGGGGGCATCATGCATGAAGGACAGGATTCCTACAGAGTTTATGGGAAAATGGATAACGCTAAATCAACAATGAAAATGACCTGTTAAGGGCTGCAGAAGACAGGAGACAGGGGCAACTTGCAGCAGAACAACCACTGTAAACATACAGCCAGAGATACACTGCAAGGTTTACACTAGAGATGAAACAATTCATTGGATTAATCGTGATTAATCGATTATTTTAATAATCATCAACTAATTGAGTATTTGATTTATCGTTAACTAGAGTATAGAGACTCTAAAACCTGCCTTTAGCTGAGAGAGCAACCCACTTAGAGCAAAAAAAAAAAATTTAGATTTTGCATTTAAGATAAAAATCTTATTCGTCTATCAACATGATATGTTTCACCTGGTTTAATTTTTCAAAAAGTCTTCTTTAAGGAATCTTTTTATATTCGATTATGTCATGGTGTTGGTTCTGTTGTGTTTTACTTTGCTCCTTGTTTTCTAGTTTTATTGGTTTAATTCCTATTTTGTTGTATTTTCTAGATTTATGTCCTCAGGTTTTTCTGTTTTCCTCTGTTGCCCTCTTGTGTGTGTTCCTTTCCCCTTGGCTCCCTCGTTGTCTTCTCGTTAGCCCTGCCTTTGTCTCAGTCAGCTACATATATTCTCCCTCTGCTCTCACTCTTTGTTGGTTCCTTGTCGTTGCTGGATCTCAATGCTGTTTTTGTCCTACCTCGTCTCTCCCTGGCTCCTCGTGATTATTTTCCCCAGATGTCTCCATGGTTCTCGTTGGGTTTACATTAGTAGATGGTTTTTTTGGATTCCTGCCTTTGCTTACTGTTTTTTCCCCATTAAACTGCAAGAAATCTCCTCAGCCTCCCTGCACTTGGGTCCTCAAACCACAACCAAACCTGGACAGATTATTGATTGATCAAAAAATAAATCAACAGATTTATCAATTTGGAAATTAATCATTTGCAGCCCTAGTTTATATTACAACAGACTTAGGGGTTAGAACGGTTTATTGATCTGACAATATGAAGCGCTTTTTTAGATCTTTAAATGCATTTGTTTGCACTACATTCTATTTAGGGGTATTAGACTAAAGAGGTCTTAAAACAAATGCATGGTACATATCAGAAAGTTTTCTACAAAAAAAAAACAAAAAACATTTTGATAGTCGTTGCAGTTTTTTTTTACCCAAATAAACTCTTTATCACTAAATAAAGTAAACATGGTTTTAGAGTTATGCTTGTGCAGTTCCAAACATTAGAGGAACTACCTCTCAAACCTTCAAATCAGAGTCTATACAGCCTGAGTGAGCTGTTAATATGAATCAGAAGAGAATTCACCATCTTATCTACATAAGTTCAGTAATGACTCACTGAGCACAGAGCTGGAGAACTGTGATTGGTGCAGACCGGTGTGTCTCCCGAGCTCCGTGGCTACGACTCCTGGGTGTACAGCATTCACGGTCACTCTGGTGCCTGTTGCAGGTACACGCATACAAACCAGCATTTAGGACAATGCATTCTACAGCTGATCACCAGCAGGACAGCAGGCCCAACTCCCTCCCACACATGCAGCAGCTCGCAGACTCGCCTTCTAACCGCTTGGCGAGCTCCCTGGTGAACAGAACATTGGCGAGCTTGCTCTGACAGTACGCCTGCTTCGTGTCGAACTTCTTCTTCTCCCAGTTCAGGTCATTGAAGTCGATCTTTCCAACGATGTGGGCGAGCGAGGCCAGGTTGATCACTCTGCTGGGGGCCGACTCTTTCAGCTTCTCCAGCAGGAGGTTTGTCAATAAGAAGTGGCCTGGAGGAAGTCTAAAGGTTAGGAGTGAGCAGAAATCTTTAGGCTCTTTCTTACAGTTTTCAGTGCTTTGCAAAAGTATTCTTACCACATAAATATTTCAATTAGTTTCACAAATTCATATTGATGATTTTTATTGAATAAGTAGTGTAGCATGCACTTATGCTAAGTCTACTTAACACTGATGTGCTTAAATAAAACTGAGTCACCCACACAGCAGTTCTCAATAACACACCATCCCAATAGTGAAACAGCAGCATCATGCTGTGAAGATGCTTAATCAGGAGCAGGTTTTAGCTTGATAGGAAGATGGATGGAAGTAAATCCATTATAATCCTGGAAGAAAATGTGTTGGATGCAGCAGAACACTCGCAGCTGATTGACCTCCACAGCCAGGGCTGCAACCTGATGAGTTAGATCAGTGGATCTCAGATGGTTTTTTTTTAGTTTTTACGGCACTAGTGGCTCATCTGACAGTAGGCTGACAGGAAAGGGGCTATGAGAGAGGGGGAGAGACATGCAGCAAAGGACCACAGACTGGATTCGAACCCGGGTCAGCCGCGTCAAGGACTAAGGCCTCCGCACATGGGACGTGCACACCACTGCGCCACCTGCACGCCCCTCAGATGGTTTTTATCAAGTAAAATCTGAATTTTAACTTTCAAAATGCCACCAAAGTGTGAGAGTGAGATTATTTCAAAACTGCACAAAAACAGCAGCTGCTTTTTTCTTTTTTTTAACCCCTAGAAATTAAGAAAAGAAAAAAATCAAACATCCTCCACTGGATTTCCCTTTTAAGCTTTTGTAGCAATCTGCACTGTTATCACAAGCAGGCTCGACCCTACAATTCACCTGCTTTACATGATGAAACAGAGTACCATTTAAAGTGAACAAAGGTCCCCTAGTGGTACTTGTATCACAGCCTTGGGTGTAGAGATCAAAGCATATTCATCATTTTCACGTGATGAAGCAGCCCAGTCAAAGCCCAGAACTAAATCTGATTAAGAATCTGAGCCAAGACTAAAAGTTAATATCCTCAGGTCCTCTCTACTCCCATCTGCGGAATGATGGGAGTAGAGAGGATAAACTCCAGTCTTCCAGAAAGGCTGAGAGTCGATGGTATACAGACATCAAGAGTTAAAAAAAAATGGCTTTCACGCATTGCATTCTGGGAGAGGGGGCCCTAAAAAGTGAGCACCAAAACAATGCAGCACCCTGATGCTTAAGTTGTAACTGTGCTATGAAGCAGCTTTATTATATTTTCCCATGTAATATAGGCAAAAACAACAAGTTGCATTGCTAATATTAAGTGCATGACCAGTTTTTTCTTACTTAGGACATCAAAACGGCATTGTTACTGGATGCACAAACAGCAGTAAAAAGTTTAACAAAGCTAAAAATCTTCCGTCATAATCTCCTTGTCCACAATTCTTTTGAACTCATAATTTAAGTTAAAAAAATAAACAAAAGACACAATTCACACAATTTTCAGAGGCATGGGACATGGTATCGGGTTTTGCAGGCCAACGACCTAAACGACTCCATATTACTAAGGGGTAGACCTGTTTTTAGGTTCAATTTGCATGTTTTGTCTTTTGTTTGGGCTACTATATAAGCCGGGAACTCAACCGCTACTCCAGACATTTTGAATTGAGGAAGCTTTCTGGATGGGAAGCGAAATATCTTCAAACTTGGAAAACAAAGTCCAGTGGTTTGTTGTTTAACTTTTTTGGGAAGACACAATTCTTACATTTCAAATTATACGCTTAATGATTCCTTTTTATCAAAGTTGGCCATTGTAAACAAAAAATACGGTGCTTACTTTTTAGGGCCTGCCGTCCCAGCATGCAATGAGCAGCAGCCATGTTTGAAACTCTTGATGCGTGCATCTAGAGGGGTCGAATTTAAATGCAAGCCACACTTTTCAGAATAGTTGTAGTAAAATTAAGTCTGGAAATCCATTTCTCCTTTTCTCACCACTTAGGAATTAGCCAACACTGTGTGTTTATATGTCACATAAAATACAAAAACCTTTGAGCTTAAACTTGTTTCCTTCTGTTTTATCGGACTGGGTTGGCATGGCAGCAGTCTCAGCGCAGAAATTTAATATGATTGAATTTGAAAATGTTAAAACCTTAGCAAAGCACTGTGGGAGCTGATCTGAGTCAGGCAAAGTACCTAAATGATTAACCCCGAACTGTATGTCAAAGCCGTCCTCCGTCTTCCCCGCTGGACACCTCATGACTCCTGCATTGTTTATCAGTATGTCCACCCGCTTCTCCTCTGCAGTAAAATAAAAAAGAAATATATATTTAACCATTTATAATAAAGTTAGGCTTATTCTCCAGTATATGCATCTCCAGCACCTTGGTTTATTTTCTCTGCAAACTCTCGGATGGACTTCATGGAGGCCAGGTCCAGGTGACAAGCATAAACATGAGGGTTCAGAGTTTTTCCTCGGATCTCTTTCGCTGCCGTTTCACACTTCTCCATGTCACGGCATCCCATAATGATACGACCCCCTGATGATGCAGGATACAGAGCGTCAGGAAACAAAAAAATATAAAAGGCAGAGAAGAACTGTCACCAGACCTCTTGTGGCAAGTTCCTGAGCCGTCGCCTTTCCGATGCCCGTGTTAGCTCCTGTTATCACTACTGTCTTTCCTTTGATTGTAGCCTTACTGGGACAACGGCCTCCTGTCACATGGTTTCTGTAAAATGAATTAAAATGTCAAATGAATGTAAAAAATATGGTGCTTTTTTCTTTTTTTTTTTTACAGTCAACCTGGTCAGTGTTAACTGTAAGATTGCAACAAATCAAGGACATTCCTGGAAAAAAGAAAAACCTGCTATAGGCTTCATAAGACCTGGGACTGGGGTGGAAGACAACCACACTACAAATATAGCCAAAACTACTACACTACAAAAATATACAGAAAAACAATGGAATGGTTTAGATGAAAAAATATGAATGTGTTAGAAAGACACAGTGAAAGCCCAAATATACACTTCAGTAAGAATTTGTTTCAAATCTTATTGGATCTGCAGCCGATCAGATGAAACTGGAACTAATTAAAAAGACAAATGGCAAAAAAAATCCTATTCAATATGTTTGGATCTCGCAGAAATAATCCCTAAAAAGCTGCAATTCAAATTTCAATGAAAAGTGACAAGTTGGCAGAAAATCATCATTTAATTGCATCATTCACCTCCATATTTTCTATTGTTCTGTGTTGGCCAACACATAAAGATTGAACGTTGTAATAAAACAAAAAAACGTTAGAAAATAACTGAAGGTTTAAAGCTGAGGTGCAGCACCTTATAAACAGTTCTTTGATCAAAAAATGATATACACCAAGTAGTTTGTTTCTCATCAATTTTAGCCTACTTCATGTTGTCAGACAGGTTCTGTTAAAGGGCTTTATTGATCCTATAATTATGGAAGAAGATTAAGGGCATTGAAAAAAAAAGGTTAACTGATTTTTAAATATTATTTCAGGTTAATATGGGAAAAAATTCTGAATTCTTTTTTCTAAGAATTCTTACTTTAATCTCAGAATTTTGGATTTTAATGTAGATGGGCACCATAAGTGGGAGCACTCAGCTTCACAGAGAAAGATGTGAGTTGTTTGGGAGGGCCATTAACACATTGGTGGAAAATGACAAAATGAGTCAACTTTTTACGTGCACGAGGGGTCCCTGGTGATGCTATTTCATTAATGGAAGAGGAAAAGGTGATTAAAACAAGAGAGCTAATCTCTAAAACAGACATGGCTACAGCTTGATATGTTTGTTAGCTGTCAGAATTCAGTCAGAACTCTGGGATTAAAATCAGAATTCTGAGAAAAAAAGTCAGAATTCTGAGAAAAAAGTTACAATTCTAAGAAAAATCAGAATTCTCAGATTAAAGTCAGAATTCTGAGAAAAAAAGGAGAATTCTCAGATTAAAGTCAGAATTCTGACTTTTTTCCTTATATTATACAGAAATAAATTTTTAAAAACTTTAATTTTTTCATTGGCCCTTATCCTCTTCCGTATATAATATGGTAACTAAAAATGAAGCCTTTTTTTCTTTACAGGATAGTATCTTTTGATATCCGGTGTTATTAAAAATAGAATAATTGAAAGATAAAGAGCTGGTGCTTAAAGGGGGAAGAACATACTAAAACACTGAGCAAAAGAACAACTAAAGGGAACTTCTCCATATATCAGTCTATCAGCTACAGATGTGGCAGCCTACATTATGTGTATATTGATTCCATCCACTCCTTACTCTAACAGACACATTATTATGAGTTACTCACTTAAGTAAAACAGCGCATCCGGCCACTGTTCCGAACACAGAAACCGGTAAAATAAATCTACTCATCGCTGCGGAAAAAATCCCTTAAAACTTAAATACATAACGCAGCCGCAAGGTTACAGTCGCACAGTTTCTACGTCATCAGCGAGCCCTAACAGTGGCCTTCTGGGAAACGTAGTCCTCCTAACTTGAAACTTCACATTGGCTGATGGGGCATTTGGATTCAGGATTTTGTTGAAAGTCTTTTAAGTAATGTA